GCAGATCCAGGGAATCCAGGGACACCTCCATGTACTCCATGCTGTTGTCCTGGCCAGGGCCCTCTCGGCCTCCCAAGGATGGTTTGTAGGCTTCAGCACCTAGATGGAAACACCGGGATTTACACAGCGAAAAAAAATAACAACAACGAAAGAGATGGCGGAGAGATGAGAGATGAGAGACAGAGATGGCACGTGCGGGCGTGAAGGCCACAGCTAAGCGAGCAGGCCGTACGCAGGCTCCTCAGAGAGGCCATGAGGACAGATGCACATCAAACGATGAAAACGCAACATCTGGCCACGTATGGCACGACTGATCTCGTATTTCCTCCCGTCCGATCAGACAGATTGTCTTAGGTAGGTAACAACAAAAAAGAAGAATAACCGAGACAAGTACAGGCACATCTGCCTGCTGCCGTACTGCATCGGCAGGCGCAGAGCTGAAATGGCACGACGAAGGGACGAAACCAAGGCTCAGCGCATCCTCCTGCCCCCGACCTGCTGCAAAGGGCTCCCCGTACGCTCCGGCCGGACAGAGCGAACTGGCTGGTCATGTATGTCGTGAAGAGGACAAGACAGGTGACATTCAGCTTAATGGGAGGGGGAAAACATAAAAACCAAGTTCTGGCTCTACATGAGCAAAGCTGCTGCTGGGAAAAGATTGCGTAGGGACCCCTCAGATCCTTCCTGAGAACTGTCAATCTCTTCACACTCCCTTGGATTTGCTTTGTCTCCTGGTTTGCTTCTCCCACTCAGGCTTGGCCAAGAGACTTGCGTTAGCCTGAAGGACTGGCTGCCACCTTCACTGAAGAGGTGGAAACCCAGTCTGCAAATGAAATGAGGAATTAGCTATTAGCTGTGAAAGGAACCAGTGGTACCCACTTCTTGAGAAAGGGGCCACCCTGGGAGGAGGGGAGCAAGCCAGATGACTGACAAACCCTAAGAACAGACACCAGAGGCTGAAACACGGTCACTTAGCTCAGAAGGAGCCACAAATCCGCTGATATAAAAAATGGCCTGTTTGCAAAGAATTAGCAAACACAGAAGAATAAACCCTTTGATGGCAAGCTATGTGTGAAGCCTTAATAACAAAGCTGAAAGCACAGCTTCACTTCAGAGACTATCCACTTTTTTTTACCCATCTCGTTCGTTACCTTTTCCTGCAGAAGGATCAGATCCAGCCTGCACTCCCAGCTCTTGCCACCCTTCAGAAGACAAAGGCCATCAAAACCTTCTTTTGAGTGCTGGGTAACTTAGGTCAAACAAGAATGACCACCCGAACGATGCCCACACCATGAGATGGGCCAGAGTGGCTCATTACAAAGGTTGTGGTGCTTTCAGAACAAGCAAAGACAACCTGCACATTTCATTCAGCCAAACATCCACACAAAAGCAACTGAGCACCACTCTGGGATGGTTCTGCCTTTCTTTTCTGCATCTAACCACACTCCTTGAGCTCACAGGACATGAGTCCATAAGGACATGAGTGTTGGGGTTGGAAGTATGGACATGCTAAAATAAAGGGATTTCATAACAAAAAACCATTCCTCCAGCATGCCAAGGATAGAATCATAGAATGGTTGGGGTTGGAAGGGACCTTAAAGACCATCCAGTTCCAACCCCCCTGCCATGGGCAGGGACACCTTCTACTAGACCAGGTTGCTCCAAGCCTCATCCAGCCTGGCCTTGGACACTTCCAGGGAGGGGGCATCCACAGCTTCTCTGGGCAACCTGTCCCAGTGCCTCCCCACCCTGTCTGTGAAGAATTTCTTCCCGATATCTAATCTAAATCTCCCCGCTTTCAATTTAAACCCGTTACCCCTTGTCCTGTCACTACAGATCCTTGCAAAAAGTCCCCTCCCATGATAAAGCCATCTCAGATGGGCTCTGCTGTCACACTGTGCACACAGCAGTCCCTGTCAGTGAGGGGCAAGTTCGCACCCTGGGTTACCTACAGCCCACCCACGTAGAGGCAGAGGGAGCTCTGCAGATGGCTACTGCGCTGTTGGCCTCGGGCCATTACCCCTGCACCTGGAAGGCTCATTTCTGGGTAGTTAAGGAACAAAACACAAGTAGTTACCTAGCATACTGGCTTGTTTCTTTTTATTCCTCCGTCTCCTCTTGCGGGTGGGTTTCAGCCATGGACTGTCCGTCTTTCCTTTCCTCTTCAGCAGCTTCTTCTTGATGCTGGACTCTGAGCTCTGAATAACCAGAGAGGCCATGTGCATGTAAGTCATGTTGGCATCTGCGTCCCAGCAGTCCTTTGCGCCCATGCGGAAGAGCCTCCTCGCAGCTTGAGTTATGCGAAAAGGCCTTAAGGACTGGGGGTTCGAAACCAAGTGGTGCTAAGGTGTCTTTACAGCGCCGAAAAGGAAACACAAGCCCACGTGTGGGTGGATTTCCTGTCATTTCAGTAGTGCATGCTTCACTTTCTCTTCCATGCATGCTCTTACACCACACCCATCGCAGCAGTAGCCGGGTGCCTCCGTGCAGCAATGCAAGTATGCAGGCACGCACACACTTTCAGTTTCTCCCCAGAAAAATAATTGTTGTGGGTTTTTTTGTTCCAGCTAACATTCACATTGCTCCACAGCTGTGAAAATTCCACCAAAAACCTTCCTTGCACCTGAAGAGCCACGTTACACGGCTGGGATGGACCCGCGTGAATTGAAGTCTACCGTAGCAGACCAGCCCGTCCCTGAGCAAGGTACAGGATAGCACGGACTGATCGTGCAGCCATACTCAGACGCATGAATGAGTCTAAACAGAGTTTGGGTTTTGGTTTAAGAAAGAATACAGTTGTCTGAGGTACGTTCTCAAAATCAACACGCGAACAGGGAATCGGGCACCCCAACCCTGTAAGGCAGCCTACAACGCGTCAATCGTAAAATTCACGTTCAAACTGAAACTGTCAGCTCCTGATGCTTATCCATCTCCCACCAAAGCTTATGAAAAACCTCCTGCTACCATTAGCAGCAGCTGGATTAGGCCCTACCTTCTCAGGAAGCCGATGCTGCACCATGCCCTGCTATCACACTGAGCAAAGCCAGGCAAAAGAGGGGGCTGAGCTCTCCGGGGCAGCTCTGCGGCGTTTCTACGCTGCCCCGATAACCCTCCCCGAGCGTTGGCTCAGCTGTGCCCCGCCACGTAGCTTACACCAATTGCATCACGCTGCTTGTGGGGGAGAGGTTTGCATTTGAGCCAGTCCCTGTCCAGGAGCTGACTGACTCACCAGATATGAGCAGAGCAAAAACTGCCATCCAGGATGTGGAGATATGACTTGGGAGTTTGGGCTTGACTGCAAGCTCAAGCCTTGGTTTGAGCTAACGCTACAGACTGGCCTCAGCTACCCAAAGAAAGGGGCAGCCCCTGCTGCTTGGTCCTCTCTGGCTCCCACAGTGTCAGAGCGCAAGTAACAAGACCCTAAAGAGCTTCAACAATTCACTTGGTATAGTCATTTCTACCTTCAGCTCAAAACATGAAGAAAATGAAGCCAATAATTTTCTCAAGGCGACTGAAGAGTTGAGGTGCCTTAAAAGCTGACTCCTCAACTTGAGATGCTGCGGAAAGGGAGCAAAGTTTTTAAGTAAAGGGGAGGGTTGGGGACAGAGACAATCAGTGAAAAACAATTTAAATTAAAAGATCAGGTTCCCTTCACCAGCCATCTAAAAATAAAAAGTAAAAATCACCAGCAGCTGGTGAAAGTCTTGCCCTAGCACTACACAGACAACCTCCCGGGGAGAGTGTCTGTCTGTCTGTCTGCTATTTGTATGCCTCTGATAAGAGCTGCTCATCTGCTAGGCATGACAGGTCGATGCGAAGTTAGGCTGTGGGCTGGGCCACCAGATTTGTGAACAACGCCACCTGAGCTCCTGTCATGGTACTAAAACCAGCACAGCTCCGAAAAGCAGAGCTTGAGGTCGTTAAGAAAACACTGCTGGCTCCCACCACTTGCCAAGTCTGCATCTGGAGAATTTAAGCACCCTTAAATATTTCTACTAACATGCAAATGATTAAAAGCAGTCAACACCTTGTTGAAAGCAGCACACAAAAGCCCATTAATTAGCATCAGAAAGCAATTAGTTGTATCGCAGATCAGGGTTAAGCACCTTGTGGAAAACAATACCCTGTGTGTGGGTGGTTTCAGAGAGTGAGTTTTGTCACAGATGAAACTACACCGCTTCATGCTCTCTCTTTCTGGCAGCAGTGCGAAGGGGAAATTATGACAAACACGACAAAGGCTGAAAGACACATTTAGCAGCCAGGCTTACCAAGTCAGACTCATCTCCATCTTCCTCCTCCTCCCCAGACTCTCCAGACTCTTGTTCCTCCTCAGACTCACCATCATCAATCTGCAGCCACCATTTGCCCAAGAACAGAAAGAGCCAGTCAGGTCAGGTCTCCCAAAGCAGGACATCCCCCTGGCATCCTGCTGTGCCCCTCACCCAGCAGAGCATCCCCCCGGCATCCTGCTGCACCCAGCCCCAGCCTGCACATGCACTAACAGAATATCCTCTCCAGGACAAGAACTCCAGGGCTGGAGTCATGGTACATCCATGGATGGTACAGGAAAGAAAACAAATTCTACGACAGAAGAAAGTTTTCCAACCAAGTCTTAACTTCCTTGATTATCCAAAACCAGCCTCATGTCTACTCTATGATTTGGGAAAAAAGGAACTGAACCAATTTTAGTGCTTCACAAGCAAGATTAGGAAGACATCTCTTACTGGTTCAGTGATTAACTGAACGTGTTGGGTTCTGCACAAATAATGGTCCACAGACTTATGTAGCAAAGCTGAAAGCGAGGGGTAGGTGGGGAGACTCACCAGTGCAATAGGGAGCAGGGAATGGTTATCAAAAAGTCTCACTACCACTGCTGCACTTTCTGCCATCTTGCAGGCTAAGAAACCCTAGAAATTGCCTTATCTCATGCCACTCCTACCCCACATGTACACCCAGTGTCCCATCACGCTCCTTCAAGTCCTGCACAGGGCATGTGAATACCTTTCTGGCATTGTCTGCGTCGGATGCACTGTCTTTAGAGGTCCTGTTATCATCTGCAGGATACACAGCTGCCTGTTCTGCTCCATGATCATCATCCTCTTCCAAATCATCAGAGTCTTCCTCGTCAGAGTCTACATCCAAGCTTTCCCCATTCACGTGAGGGCTGCCATCACCCAGGTCCTTTTCACTCTGAAACTCGTTCAAGGAAGAGCCACAAAGACAACATGAGTTCATAGGACAGAGCAGAGAATCCATCCCAAGCCGCCTCTGTGCTAGGAGCCCTAGAACTGCCAGGGGAAGGCTGGCTTTATGGCCCTCAAGAGCTCTTCAATGCTGCCAGCAAACCAGCCCAAGGGCCTGGGGACCGAGGAGCCACGAGCCATCATTCCGACTCACGCGGCTGTACGAGGCATTAAGGGGAGGAGGGCTGCTGGGCAGGAGCCTACAGACAAACCCCCCCAGCCTAAATCAAACATGGATGGGCAGCTCCACTGAGGGTGCAAGAAGATTTCTAGTGAATGGAAAGGGAAGTTAAATCACAGAGGGATTTTCATTCCCCTCCATGAAAGTCCATCACTGTTCTCCTTAAATTCAGATCAAACCTTCAGGGCACGAGCTGCAGCAAAAGCAGAATTTGACCAGGAGTGGGTCTCTGCCTAAACCTTTTCAAGCAACCAGTTGTTTTGCTGTACAGCCTCAAGCAACAACACTACACAGGTACCTTGAGGACACCAAAACAAAAACGTTAACCACACGTGGTACGCTGAAATCTCTCTAGTTCCACAGGACTCGTGGGAGAGAAGGGGAACATCCACTGGAAAACGGTTGTTTAAGAGCTGATATCTGAACGACGACTCCAAAAACCCATTTTCAAAGCAGCAAGGCTGCTGCAGGCAAGATGCTGTTGTCAGAAAGAAGTTGTAGACCCAGAACAGAAGATGCTGACTGCAACAAGCCAGCAACATTCCTGCACCTGTACATGGGGTTGGTGTACCCGAACAAGGGACGTGTGTGGTGACAGCAAGCATGTCCAGTGAGCTTAGCGCTCCCCTTACCTTGGCACCCACAGAGGAATGAGTTATGCTCTTAAACATCTCAATCATTGTTCTCTGTTTTAACACTTTGGTCTTTTTCTTGGGAACCAGGCTATAGGTTCCCATTCTCCGTTTCTTCTTCCGAGATACTGCAGCAGCTGGAAAAGAGAAGCAAAAGAAACCCAAAGTTTGCTCAGGAATTAATAGGGATAGAGAGTAGAGGCTGTATTGGGGGGAAATCTCATTTGAGGGCATGAGCTGAGAAAAAGGCATCCCACTCCAACAAATTTATTTACAAGTCAACCAAAAATCATAGAATCACCGACTGGTTTGGGTTGGAAGGGACCTTAAAGCCCATCCAGTTCCACCCCCCCTGCCATGGGCAGGGACACCTTCCACTAGACCAGGTTGCTCCAAGCCTCATCCAGCTTGGCCTTGGACACTTCCAGGGATGGGGCATCCACAGCTTCTCTGGGCAACCTGTCCCAGGGCCTCACCACCCCCTGTGGGAAAAACTTCTTCCCGATATCTAATCTACCCCCCCCCCCGCTTTCAGTTTAAACCCATTACCCCCTGTCCTGTCACTACAGACCCTTGTAAAAAGTCCCCCCCAGCTTCCTTGTGGCCCCTTCAGGTACTGGAAGGTGCTATAAGGTCTCCCCGGAGCCTTCTCTTCTCCAGGCTGAACACCCCCAACTCTCCCAGCCTGTCCCCATAGCAGAGGGGCTCCAGCCCTCTGAGCATCTTCGTGGCCTCCTCTGGACTCGTCCAACCTATCTATATCCTTCTGATGTTGTGGGTTCCACAACTGGACATAGCTGTGATAACACACACATACATGCAAACACACAAATGTCTTTCTGCCAGTGCTGCAAACCCACCCAAATTCTGAGTATCCTCACCATGCTCCTTCTGGCCCTACATCACCATACACAGTATCAAATCCTTAATTTGGCTGGCATTTGGCAGTAGTGCTGATGCTGCTGGAGGCTCAGTAGAATCCAGCTTGCTCAAATAGATCCTGCAAGGCTACTAATACTGACTTACAAGGAAAGCAATCATACAGTAACTGAAGAACACACAGGGAACAGGTACCTTAAATAAAGAGCTGTCTGACATTTCACCTTATTTCACACCCACTGTGGAAGTTTGTTTGATTCCTTTCGCTATTCTGATTGGGTCTTAATTTGTTAAGTCTTCCTCCTGGCCTTCTAATCAAATCACTCATCACACCTCACTGCCTGATGTGGTCTCTGGTGAACACACATCAGAGGGATGCTTAGTGCAGGCTCTTTTAAAAATGACGTACAGCAGGGCACGGCCAGCTTCAGCACCAGCACCATCGTTTGCAGCTGTACAGCCTGTTCCTGGAAAGCATTTCTTCATCTCCTACGATGAAATTTCACTAAAAATCTATGAAGAGACCTCCCCAAAAATGTCTTAACCAATTAAATTTATTTACAAAGATGTAGTTTATGGTAACCAGTTGTTGCGGTGATATACAGGGTCCCTCAGAATTGACAGAAACACCTTCAGAATATCACACGGGAAGATCTTCTAGTAACAAGTTTGAGCAGAGGCGCGACTCTCGGTGTGGTGGTGCCTGATGGAGCACACCGACCTGCCCGCGCTGGCGCACGACAGGCTGCATGGCTGATGCGGAGCAGAAAACTGGTGGACTTCACTCAGGAGGCGACTTTAACAGGGGACTGCAAAATGCCCAGAGAAGGGAATGGAGCTGGGGGAGGGTCTGGAGCACAATTCCTGTGAGGAGCAGCTGAGGGAGCTGGGGGTGTTCAGCCTGGAGGAGGCTCAGGGGAGACCTGATCGCTCTCTAGAGCTCACTGAAAGGAGGGTGCAGAGAGGGGGGGTTGGTCTCTTCTCCCAAGTGACAAGTGACAGGACAAAAGGAAAGGGCCTCAAGTTGCGCCAGGAGCGGCTTAGATTGGATATTACGGAAAATTTCTTCACTGAAAGGGTTGTCAAGCACTGGAAGGGGCTGCCCAGGGAGGTGGTGGAATCACCATCTTGGAGGGATTTAGAAGACATACAGATGTGGTGTTTAGGGACATGTGCTGGATTTGGACACTGGTGGATTTGGCAGTCTTAGAGGTTGGACTTGATGATCTTAATGGTCTTTTCCAACCGCAAACATTCAATAATTCTTCCCTGCACAACATCCAGAGAACACAAGCATCCTGCTTACAATGTGACAGCCACGCGCAGAGAAGTGCCTAGATGAAACGGCACCCGTCACACGAGGCCTGTGGCAGCAGCCCTACCGATGCCAGCAGGCAAGGAAACACGGAAGGAGATTCAGTGGTAAAAAGGTACTAACAGAGGTTTCAGTCCTTGTTAACCTGCCTCAACGCCCAATCAACCACACGTACACACCTCTGGGAGGTGGGTGCTGCTCGGGATTTTAACTCCGTCCTTTTTACCTGTCTGCGACTTCGTGGTGGCCACATAGCTCTGGTTCTGAGGTAGTGACTGGTGAAGGCCCGGGAGAGAGGACAATGGCAATGGCTTCCCAAATTCCAAGATGTTTTTGCTGCCTTCCTCCTTGGATTCTTTTTGATCTCTGCTGTCTCTCCCATCTTTGGGGTCTTTACTTGCATGCTGGAAAACAGAACGTAGTTAAATGGAGCCTCTGCATTAAATAAATAACTAAATAGAACCCCAGAAAATCAATATAATGCCTTTCTCTCAAGCATCATCACTTGCATTTGAAGACAGGACCAGACATTCAGAGCAGAAGCATGCAGCCCCTCTAGCACACAGTGTTACTTTGCCTGAAGACTGCAAACCCCCCCAGCCTGCTGCTCCCGCAGTTGATGGTGGCTGCTGCCCTTGAAGGTGAAAGGCTACCTCACAGAGGCTGTGGCAGCTCCAAAGCAACTGCAGATAATGAAAAGGATCAGACACTATTTACACAGGCATTTGGTTGGCTCTGGAGAAGATGAACAAAGGCAACAAGTACAATTATTGCCTGAAACAGGCTCTGAGCGCGGCTGTCACGCCAACCAAGAGCCTTGCAGAGATGTTTTGGAAGAGCAGGCAGCAAGGGGAAGCAACCCTTCCTTTTGGACAGCATGTGGCACAATCAAGACGCAGCAAAGGCTCCCACCTCGCCCACCAAAACCTGGTCTTGGCACTGCAGGTTCATCCACAGTGCTGCCACTGATGCAGCAGAGGCCTGTCCAACCTTGCTTCAGGCCAGGTACTCCCCATCTAGCTGTTGCTAAAACAGGGCAGGCTACAGGACAATTAGGTAGTTGCTGCTGCACCCACTCTGATTCAAGGTTGTACTCAACATGGAGTCTCGTCCAGCCCCTTTGGCCACGAAAACAGGGTTCCTACAGCTCCTCAGCGCTGCACCTTCTGCAACCACTGTGTCAACAGAGTAGGGTAAATGCTGCCCCTCTGATTCGACACCTTACACTGGATTTGCCCTCTTACGTATTTAACAGGTGACCTGGCTGCCTCCACACCTCTCCATACATCTGTCCACTCAGGCAGGAGGCAGGTTTGGCAGAGACGCTCCGGAAAACCGAGAGCATGGTTGGCAGATTACAAGCTCTGCGGTGGCACTGTTTCAGTGCTGCTCCACTTGCAGGAAAACCCTTCTTACGGGCCTTCTGAAGCAACAGCTGAAACACCGAAACAGAAGGAGGACTCCAGGCAAAACAAAGAGGGGGAAAAAAAACCCCAGCAAGCAATAAAAACGCTCTTTAACGTCCAGGTTCAGCGAGGCACTCTTAGACACTGCTGTCAAATATTGTGACCTTGTGAACAAATGGGGAAGCAACTGATTCTCCTAATTACAGCTCTGCCATGTGCACGCTGCTGGCAGAAAGCGGGGACTCGATCACAGGCAGAAAAGCTGCAACGATAATCAAAAACGACCTGCCTAAAAAGGGCATCGAATCGCCAATGATTCCTGCATCAAGCCCATAATTTATGGCTGAATTGCCACATCGTTTCTTAAAAGGCATCTAGTCTTGGATTAACGATTTCAAAGGCGACAGATCTACCATATCCTTTGATATGTTGTTCCAAAGCTTAATTGCCCTCACTGTCAAATAATTAAATGCATTATGCTTTTTCAACTAAATTAAAAAGCCCTGTATCATCAGAAACTCTCACTCCAAGTAGATACTTATGGACTACGACCAACTTCTTTTTTTTAAAAAGACTTTCTCTTCAAGAAGTTTAATGCAATGCACAAACTAAATGTCCATAGGATCATTTTCTGGATGTTGGATCACTCCTGAGATTGTTCTTAGTTGTCGTACCCCTTAAAAAATGTACGTCAGGAGCGCTGGGCAGAGCATGCCAATAATAGTCTCAACAATACTATTTATACCTCTTAAAAGTCCCTAATTTATAGATGTAAAGGTTAACAGTAATTCTTGGCTACAGGATTATTCTGAGAATTCCAAATTCCCCTGGAACATCCACGGCTTTCCATTTTTAACTTAAAGTTAGTAAAATGAGCTTGGGAGAGGCAGATCTGATGCAGAGCTGCCTGCAACAAGTGTACACAAGAGCTGCATTTTTTGTCCTTTGAGAGCAGGTTCTTGCAGCTGGTCCCTGACAAAACGTGCTGTTACTCCCAAACATCAAGAATTCACATTCGGACCATGCCAGACTGTTTGGAAGAACATAATCAAATTTTAAATTTAAAAGTAGTATGTTATTAGCTTGGGGTTTTTTTCTCTCCCCCTGTAATTACAATATGGAAATAAATTAAAAATATTCCATAGGGCTGCATGACAACTGTTAAATGTGACTTTTTTCATGGCAATTCCAGTAAAGCAGTTTTTTAAATCAAATTAAGCCTTGTAAGGTCTGGATTATTACTTGGAGGCATATGCAGCAGTGCTAAAGAACAAGAATTCCCACAGAGAGGTGACCAGATCTCTCAGGAACCCTGATGGCACGGGAAGCTGAGCAGGCCAGCACTAAAACATACGTATGTGTATATATAAAAAATACTACATCTGAGGATTGCAATAAATGGGATCAGCAAAGATTTGAAAGCACTTACACCCACCTTTCTTCCTGCTTACCTAGATAAAACAGGTACATCTTTGCTGTTCTTAATAAATTTTACTCTTCCAGCAAGTAGAGCGTTTAGTGGATGAAACTTTATTCTCTTCCCATTTCTAATGTCTCTGAATTCTGGCAGTTCCTTAACCGGAGCCTGTAGGTACAGCCCATCCTGGTCTCCTACACTGAGCTTTGATGCTCTGCTCGCTCTGCTCCAAATTTAAACACCCCCAGAGAAGAGGCTTTGCTAATCTAGCACACTGGTCCGCCGGGAAGTTTCTTCTTCCTTAAAATCCCATCGCGCTGGCTAACAGCTGGTTCAAGCACCCCTGGGCCCTTCCTCACAGACATTCTGCATCCCTCGCTGCCCAGCCACCGCCGGCACGTGGCACCTCTCCGCAGCGGGCAGGTAAAAGGAGCAAAGGCGCACGTGGGAGTGGGGAGCGTGGGTGCTAGATTATTCGGGGCACAACAGAGTCCTATCAAAGCAAAACCAAACAAAAAAATCACAGTGCTCCATTTAAACACAAAGCTCAGATCCACCTGCAAGCCCCCAGCACCCTCAGAGGACTTCTCAGAAGGCTGCGCAGCCGTTTAGCTCCAACGAGTTTCCTGCTAGGGAAAAGGCTATCCAAGGAAAACCTCAGGCAAAAGTTCCTCCATCAGAAGAGGCGGAGCAGCAGCCTCCAGCCCTGCCACCGCGTGCCCCTGCCCAGGACCCAGCTCCAGACACCTCCGTGAGCGATACGGTCACTGGCACAGCCGACAGCACTTCCTGCTCCTGTCACATGCCACCTTCTCCTGGTTTCGTGATGGATGGGTTCTTCCCGCCCTCCCCATTCCTAGCAAAAGGCGCAGCATCAAGCAGGTATGTATAAAACTGCTTGCAGCTCAGTATCCCTCCAAGCCAACTCTTGCTTCTTGGCTGATGTCTCTCACCACTTCCCAGGGAGGGCACTCGTGCCGGCAAAGCACCGAGGGGTTCAAACAGCAGGCACCAACGAACCCAGCAGAGCCGACTGCTCGTCACCATCTACCCATCCGGTGGGTAGACAAATGGGTTAGCGTCTGTCACACGGCTACGACAAATGCTAACACTGCTTCATCTCCTGAAGATCCAGAGCCCTCTGCCGAAGGTGGAAAATGCCACAAGAGCAACGCTGGAGCCTGCACCAGAAGCGGCCGTGCCGGGAAAGCGATACGCAGCTTTCGGTGCTCTGCTGGGCACGGACTGATCTGCTAACGAGGGCACACACACCCAGCTGCCCGTGCTTTTCACTAAGCAGACTCCTACGCTCAGAAATCGGGTGGAGACCACCCCCCTTCACTTAAACCAACCAACATTCAAGAGAGCAGAGGCTCTTTCATCTAACACCTACATGGGCTCCACTGCAAAGAGCAAAATTAGAGGCGAGAAACACAATTCTTGTCCCTAAATAAGCTCCATTGCTGTGTGTTAACCTTGCCCAAAACAGCCACGGCCTTTTTTTCCCCCCCAATTATATTTAACAGTCAAGCACAGTTTTCATCTCCAGTTTTAGAGAATCCCATGCAAAGGCAACTCCAGGACACAGTCTGAGCTCCCTGTGTTCACATGGAGTCCTAACCACCACTTGTGTGGGCCACTGGAGCCCAAGAAAGGACCAAATGTGACAGAGAAAAGAACCTACGTCACTAATGTCTTTGTTTCCTGCAGCTTCTCATGTGATATCAGCTCATCCTATGCAAAAGGGTGGAAAGCCACGATTTCATCTTGGGCATTGCAAGGAAGAGTGAAGAAGCTGAAGACAGCCACTGCAACCTTCAGGCCAATGTTTCCAGATGCTTGTGTCTGGCAACAGCAAAATTGGGACCACAACTACGTCCAACACCATTATGAGACAAACAGCCTAGAAAACTGCTTAGATCAGGACAAGAACACAGTATTTTATGTGTTTATAAAAACTGAACTCAAGTGCTCTCTACATTTTATTGGGATTGACCATGTTCCTATTACTGACACAGAAGTCCCCTACTGCAGCAGGGAGAAGTTACTAGAAACGGCACAATACAAAATATCCTTTTTTTCCTTCCCAAAAGCAAAAATACAAACCAAACCAACCCTACTAATTAACACGCCGTGTTGGTTCGACAGACCGCAGACGGCATACTTCCCACAGCCCAACAATTCAGAGGTCTTTCCATTACCAAAGCAAGCAAGCTACCGACAGCCAGAGAGACCCCAGACCAGAACTCCATCCGCGTGTGGGTGCAAGGACACTGGCAGGGGTCCCGCAGGTCCTGCTTCGGGGCAGGGCAGCGTTCAGGAGTACCGCAGACGGGCTGCCGTTCACGCTCGACACCGAAACCATCTCCAGCTTAGACACCCAGCTGTCTTATTTCTCTTCTTTTAAGGACTTTCATCTGTGGCACAACACGAGGTTGAAACCACAGCCAACTAGCCAGGACTCGGCTAAGTGCCACAGACACCGGGCAACACGGCAGCTGCCACGGAGCAACCTGCTTCTCTCCATCCATCGTGCGGAGGGGTCAGGAGATCTGTACCTCGGCGCTGCCTTCCATCAGCACAGCGCAGCAGCTCCCCGGGGGATCTGCCTCCAACAACCGGTGGGTGCTATTTACACAAGAAATATCAGTTTGCTATAAAAAACTTAACACAAGCGGGTGACAGTGCCTGCAGGAGCTGTAGCGGTGCTCCTCTCCCTTTCCTCCGCTCCTGCAGAATTACACTTTTCACTACTGAATTTCAGCACAGCTACCGGGGGATCCTGCCCACTGCCTAGGCCTTACCTTGGAGCAGCAAAAAGAAACCTGCATGGCTTTGGTCTTAACCTAGATCAGACAAGCTGCAGGGCTGATTCACCCATTAGAGCCCTTTTATCTGCAGATTACCACGTGCCCATCAGAAGAGGGATTCCGGTGTGACTTGATTGCAACGGCACCGCTTTGTGTGCAGTCACCTATCTGCATAAAACCATAGCGGTGCAGGCTGCCAGGCAGACTGTGCTGACGTGCAGATGTTCCCAAACCAAGCTACAACCTGCATCGTCCAGAGGTGTGGACTCTGCTGGGACAGGGGGAGAGACCCCACTCCTCATCCCGGTCCCCTCCTAGATGGAGAAGCTCCAGGGGAAGGGAGTGTCAGTTAAAACGAAAGAGAGTAGCTCAAACCAGTTTTGATAGCCAGCCTCCTACCAGAAAGAGGTCTGCTGGGGACCTGGGACTGGGATGGTTACTTCTGCGGGCTGTGGTCAGCACTGGGGGCAGCCACCTCCAGCTGGTGCGGCCGTGTCAGCAGCACGAGCACGACCAGCTAAATACGAAATGAAAAGTACTGCACAACATCCGTTCACTTTCTACCTCCCTCTGCAGTAAACCCTCTGTGTAAGAAGTCCAATGGCAGTCTATGGCCTCATCACTCCTGAAGGAGGTTTCCCATCGGGAATACTGAATTGTGAGACCAAGCTCGCACACACGGACGTCACATCACCCCCTCCATGCAGAATTTCTTCCTGATGTCCAATCTAAATCTGCTCTCTTTTCAATTTAAACCCGTTACCCCTTGTGCTGTCACTCCAGGCCCTTGTAAAAAGTCCCCCGCCTAAGAAGATCACGTCCCCATCACCATCCCCATTAGGACCTGCCCTTAGTTTTGAGTTTTCTGCATACTGGAGGGCTGAGCCTGCTGAGCAATCCCAGACACTTGCAAACCGCCACCTGCCCAGCCCCAAGAGATGAACATAAGATGTGCTTAGGCCAGGAGCTCCTGCAGAGCACCCCACAGCCCACGTCAGCACACAGCCCAGTACTGCTGGGCACCGACACGGAAAATAACACTCCACAGCAACAGCAACACCTGTGTGCACACACAACGCCAGCAGCATACCCGTCCTGGCATCAGATATTTAGTGGCAACGCTGCTTAAAGGTGAATTTTGAGGAATATTCGGAGAAACACCAACAGAAGCAAAGTGTCTCCTGCCCCAGGGTCCTCCTTCCAGCCCCGGCTTTGTCTCCCCCACTGAAATCGGCTCCCTATGTTCTGGGCTCACGCTGAGAATCAGGCTGAGATACTAATTTGATGGGTTTTTGCACTGTTTCTTCTGACAGTTCAGTTACCGTGTCCCTGTCCTCTGCACCGCATACAAAAATACCACCAGAGACACACACCTCAAACTACAGCCTTGCGGTCACCAAGTAATGAATGGAAGCGTAACTGGGGATTCCCAAGTCAGCCATCAGCTCCTCTTATCTCAAGAGATAGCCATGGGATGCTTTCACTGCCTTTATCATCCTTTATCCTTTCTGGAGATGTCTTAGTGAAGTTAAGGAGGGACATGCTTAAAGCATGCGACACACACACACCTTTCAGTCTGTTGCCTGGCCCTGGAAACTTTTGGGTTCTTAACAGGGTTGTAAATGGATTAAGAAGGAAAGAGATACTTTTCCAAAAGGTGGAGCGCTTCCCTTACTGCGCTGACTAATCAGAGGGGAGCAGAAAGGATGCTGTCAAAAACTTTCCCAAGGTCTCTGTTCAAAAACCACCTTAACATGCAGCAACATCAGTTAAAATTGTCACCTGTTTCAGATTCAGCTTCGATCCCAATTCAGGAAGCAAATCCTAAACAGAGAAAAAGCTGGTTAACTTTGGGAGAAAATTATTTTCTTCCTTTCAAAGACCAATCCACATGTGCATGAAAAGGCTATCAAGGTCCCCTGACAGCTACTGGATTACAGAAAACATTTTTCTGGCCCCAGTGGGTTTCTGCAGGACGTAGGGGAGGGGAACAAACGTGGACAATTTGCAGGCAACAAAATCCCTTCCTCCCCTCCTTCCCAGGGCTGAACAGGTGTGCAAGAACAGTCTACCAAGAAAACAACAATGCCCTAAAAAACAGTAGCAAAGAAAACTACTGCCTCCTGTAAGTCAGCTGCTGGGTTATCTGCACAAATTATTTCCTGGAATACAGCACCTGCTATCATGGTGCTTTTGAAGGGGAAGAGGTGTGAACGTGGAGGGCCGTGCATGAAAAGCTGCTCTGCTGATGAGCCTCTTACACGCAGCTCAACAATGAAATAATCAGGACCAAAAAAAATGACAACTAGCAGAGAGTCTGGTACTCAAAAGACAACAGCATATAAATTCGAAAGACAATGGGAAAAAATTAGGTAATAATTATCAGGAAGGCAGAACAAAACAGATGTTTTATTGGCTTGCAGAGATGAGATCAAACCTTGGGTTCACATTCAGACTCAGAGGCTTGTGAACGGCCTCTTCTTACCTCCCTTCTCGTGAATTTTGTTTCTCTCCCTATTTTAAGCCCAAGGGAAACGGCCAGAGATGCTGACGACAGGCTATGCGCTTTCTGGAGCGGCCCAGCAACTGCAGGCTTTGGTTTTTGCAGCCGCTGCTTCTGCGTGAGCAAAGGAAGATCACCAGCACCCCCGCAGCAGCGCGTGTAACGGAGCTGCGAGCATCCGCACGCAGCTTTCCAGAGACAAACCTGGAAGCCCAAGGGGCCGCGTGAAAATACTCTTTTGATGTATCATAAAATATGAATGAGGAAAACACTCCCTCCTAACCTCGCCGTCATCTTTTAGAAGGGAATTGCCTTTTTCAATTGCTCAGCCCCAAGGGATCTCTCCCCGTCAAATCCCACGAGGGTCTGGGGGTTTGCCCAGCCTCGCGTAAGCGCACAGCAGGCTGCTGGGGAAAGCTGCGAGGCAGGTTCGGTGGCAAAGCCTCGTTTGGGCAAGAGACAGCCTTATGGGAGATCTTCCTCAGGCTGCACTACTGCATCCGGGCTTCCCAAAGCCAGCCAGAAAGCACAGCAGCGTGGGGGAGCGAGAGAATCCAAGCGCAATCAGGGGCAGACAGAGGGGCAATCAGTTTGGGAGAGGCGTGGGGAACTCCCGGCAGGCATGGTCTGTGCCCCGCTGCTGAGGCTGGGTGCCCAGGGGGCTGTAATCTCCATGTGCTCTTTGGAATCCCACCTGCTTCCGGAGGCGCAGGTGCTGCCAGCAAGGGCACCTTTCCCAGCTGTGGCTGGCGAAGTGCCACCTGCTCTTTTTATTTTTTCCCCCCTCTTCCCCTGCTCCAGACCACAGCAATTCACAGCTCTGAGGCCTTCGCAGCACGCTGTTGCTGTGCTGCAACATGTGGGTGACATCTGAAGATCACTGTGCATGTGCTGGTCTGTAATAAGCTGGCAGCTTACAGCAATCCATTCCACCACCCTTCCCATTTATTTCTGGGTATGACTCACACTGCCAAGCAATCTTTTCCTTGACCTATGAGCAGGACACCTAAAAGCCAGTCTCCCTCCATCCTTAGACAAAGCACAATGAGAGGATCTAGCTCATGGCAGCTAAATATAACGCAGCACACGGCTGGAGATCAAGTGCTCATAGTGGAAATCTTCCTGTTCTGGGACCTTCTCCCTACCTTGGGCAAAAGAATCAAACCAGAAGAACCAAGCTTGGCCAAAGACAAAGAAAGGCCCATTTCTGTTCACCCCACTGTAACATGAATGCACCAGGTGACTTAGAATCATAGACAGTTTGGGTTGGAAGGGACCTTAAAGCCCATCTAGTTCCAACCCCCTGCCATGGGCAGGGACACCTTCCACTAGACCAGGGTGCTCCAAGCCTCATCCAGCCTGGCCTTGGACACTTCCAGGGATGGGGAATCCACAGCTTCTCTGGGCAACCTGTCCCAGTGCCTCCCCACCCTCTCTGGGAAGAATTTCTTCCCGATATCCAATCTAAACCTCCCTGCTTTCAATTTAAACCCGTTACCCCTTGTCCTGTCACTACAGTAAAAAGACTTCACATCTCCTTTTGCCTCCTAAGAAGCAGCAGAGCTGTGTTTTATTAAGCGATGGCAAATCCACCCCTAAGGATTCTGGAGGGAAGATTTCTGAACAAGTTGCATTACTGCAGGCAACATACAGAGAGAAACAAAACATCATCTGGTTTACTGCTATAATGAGACAGCAGTGCAATCAAGTTGCCTAACATATCAGCTTCTTGACAGCTTCCAAGCTTAGGAGAAGCCTCCAGTTAACATGCTATGCTTAATTTCCTTTGGGTCGAACTTATAAGAAATCTGATTTGTTTCACAAGCAGCTCTGCATTTCAGCAGAGGCTGATGAGCAACAGAGCCAAGACAGAAAGGCTCACACAGATCTGTGGGAGAAGATAATTGATCAATTATATATTTAGAAAACAAGGCTCTATGCTAACATCTCTGTCTCTCTGTAGGAAGAGAAAAAACCATATATAAAAAAAAACAATCAATAGAGTCAGTGAGACACCTCCGAACTACACGTGTCCCCGTGCAGCGTGCGCTCAGAGAAAGCCAAGAGCAATCACAGCAGCGCTGACTGCTGAGCATATACATTACCAGGCTAGGGGTGGGTTTAGGCATTGTCTTCCGTGCTCTGTGGACCTTGACTTCAGTGTTAGCAGCGGTGGCTTTTTTAGCATCCATGTCCTTGCTGCCCTCCCCGAGCTTGGCTGGCATCGTGGCTTGCATCTGAGAAAAGGAGCCCACAGTTCTCCCTTTGCTTGCTCCTCCTGGAAGGGTTTTTGCAGCATGGCCGGTGAGAGAAGCAAAGGTGCTGGTAGTCCTTAGAGGTTGCTCCTGTGCCATCTGCTTGGTTAGAATATATCCATTGCTCCCCGTTACAGAAGTCTGTGTGAAGTCATTAGCTTTCATATGGTTTTGCTTCCCAGTCTCGCCATCTCGTTCCGAAATGCCGTTTTCTGCTATCCTATTTAATTTAGTACTAGAGTCCTGCTGGCTCACTTTCGTATTGTCCTGAGTGTTTTTAGCTGGGTTTGGGTGGCCCCCAGCGTCGCTGTGCTCACAGGAACCGTTGGTTTCACCATCTACTGCCATTTTTGGTTCCCCCGCTTGCTTTTCCGTAGCACTTTCATCTGCAGCCATGGCATTAAAACCTAGAGAAAGAGGGAGGAGAAGGAAGAGAATAGAAAGGTAAGAGTCATAAGCAGTATCAAAACTCCAGAGCGAAGGTACAGCTACTTAGAGTGGCTAACGAAGAGCAAATCTCTCCCACACAAAACTGCTTCCACTATGTGCATGTAGGTTGGTCACTCACCGACCTGACCAGCTTGCCTGGATCCTCAGATGGTGAAAACTGAGGAGGGGGGTCCAGTCGAAAGCCCTGCACTCATTCTCACTTGCCTCAGTTGCAGATGTGGCCATTTATTCCCAACTATGGATTTTTCAAGGTAAATATTTACCTTCAGCTTTTCCAACAGCTACACTGACTGGACCATATGTCAACACCTCGCATGTCAAACACAACACTACCCAGTCTTGCATTCAGACCTCTGGCAAAGCCCTTCACAATGCCAGACTGACACAAAGCTGCTGGTAGGGCTGTACAGGTGAGCTCTCGTGCCACAGAGGCAGCTCAGCCACCAAATACCTACAACAGAGCTCTGCTGCTACACGAAACATCGCAAGGAGTAACATCCTGGGAATCACAGCTCTCCCCGCAACGTTGTCCAGTGGAGCCCGGCTCTTGGCTGGGATGAAGCGGCACAGGAGCAGGATTCACACTGTCATTTCAGAGGCAATAGCCAGAGTAAACATAGGGGTGAAGCATGTTAAATGCAATTCTGGACTAAAACAATGACGTGCTTCAAATGCAGCAAGATTTCACAGACTGACTAAAAGCTCCTGCACACACAGAACAAGAGCATCCAGGTAAAAAGGTTTTTTCCCTCCCTTCCAAACATTTCCACTCTCCCCCCATCAATGAATTTGTCCCATCAGAGATTTCAGACCTGAACTGAAAGAAATCCAAGCATGAATGCCACGGACTTGCAGAAAGGTTTCTGACACGACAAACCACCAGCTCCCCAGGCAACCCGGAGTGATAACAATTCACTGGCACATTCAGCAAAACGATTAAATCAACCTGCTGTCAGGGATTCCTCGTATTGTTTTCCTTCCAGAGGCCAGACAGTTACAAAAAGCATCGCAAGAAGTACCAGCGAAAGCTTTGTCCAAGAGGGCTGTCCGAGCAGGTAGGACCGATTCACAACCAGCTCAAATCAAAGCAATTGTTGCCTACGGTACTCAGAGGGCTCAGAGTCAAACCGGAGGACAATTCTGCAGCCAGACCGGCACGCTGGGTATCAGCATCTCACTTCACGCTGCTCTTGAAGCCCAAACATACAAAGAAAACAATATTCTGAATTGCTCTGATGACCTGATGCAAGGCTAAAGCGCGAACAGGAACCAAGATCCTCCACCCCAGGATGTCAAGTCCAACACACCTGGACTCATGGTCAAAGCTGAGCTCTGCAGGGCTTTGCTGCGTGCCCCAGCGCACTCACAGCTCAGTGCCAACACCAGCAGGGCTGGATGAGTCCGGAGGAGCAGCGCTGCACAGCTTAGAATCACTGGGTTGGAAAAGA